GGGTGGGGGTCAGTGATGGGTCGAGGGCGATGCTTTGAGGGGTAGGGGGCCAGTGAGTGAGCTGTGGAGGCTGGCTTCAGGGGCCGGGGAGGATTCAGGTGGCGGTTATGCGGGCTAGATGGCTTGGCGGACTGTTGGGTTGAGCAAGGGACGGGTTGGAGTGAAGGCAGTCGGAGGTTGGGGTGGGGCTGTGGGGAGCGGGTTGACGGGGTGGCCGGCAGAATGGACGCGGCTGCGTGTGCTTTTGGAGCGGCGGCCCGTGTCGTCTGTCATCGCGGCGCGACCCTCGCCCGCGTTGGGCGTCAGGGGCATAGAGTGATGCTTTCCCCAAAACAATTGCAACGCAACAATCGAAATGCGCACAGCAAATATGCAACGTGACCACCACCACATGCAAGCCTGCACCCCTTCCTGCTGCTGTCCAGGAGCAGTGGGGCCACGCGGAAGCCCTAGGCTCTCCTGAATGTAGGCCGTTCTCATACCCCCCTTGCCTACCGTCCCCCCCCCCCACAACCCCATCAAACCACGGCCTACCTTGAGCTGCAGCCCGCAGGCCATGAGGGCCGCCTTGACGGCCGCCACCATCTCCTCGATGTCATCGCCGATGTACTCCTTGCCCGCACCCTGGGTGGACCGCAGCGGTTGGTGGGGTTGAAGGTTAGGGCCGAGGGTTTAGGGCGCAGCGGGGAGGGAGTGCGGGAGCGGTTTGGGGTCGAGGCACGCACGGGGTGCCTGTCGGCTCGCTGCGTGAAAGAGCGCCCCTGCCACAGTTGAGGGTTGAGGATGGGGGCCTTGAAAAAGATGGGAGCTGAGCAGAGACAAGGTGTTCAGACGAGTTGGCGCGTGATGATCCAGATTCCAACCCACCTTGAATGGGATCTTGGTGGACACGATGCTCACGTACACCCCCACCTGCGGGGCGCGGAAGAGTTGGGGGTGGTGGGGGCGGGAGAGGGGCGTGTCTGAGCAGGGGTATGTCTGCCTGGCCTGTAGCGGGATCATTGCATGCCTGGTTTCAAGTTGGAAGGGGTGTTGCTGCAGGCGGGCGTGGTGGCACGGCTTGGCCAACAGCCTCATCTCTGGCTGGGACGCTTCGCGGCGCCCACCACTGGGGCCCAAAACTATGACTGCTGGCCCCATGCCAAACCCGCTGCCACCCAACCAAAAAAACCAGACACTCTCAATTGTTCGACACCACTTTTGACAAAAGCGTATACCCTGAGAGTAAACACACACACACTCTCTCTCACACACACACGACAGGCAACGCACCACCGCAGCAGGGCCAGCGCACCTTGTCTGTGTGCTGGTTGATCTTGTAGGTGGCCCAGTTGACCCTCTTGGCGGCGGTCTTGGTGATGACGTCATTGCCACCCTCAAACAGCAGCGGGATTCGGTTGGCAAACCTTTGACCGAAGCCGGCGGCGGGGGCAGGGGCGGGGTGAACATCTCAATAGTCAGCCTGCTAGGTGGGTAAACAGTATCCGGCAACCCAGCCGCATCCCGAGGCACGCCAGTGCCAGGACAGCCGTCCAAGCGCCAGGCACGGTCTTGCATCAAGAGACTCTCCAAAGCTGATGGGCCCAGTCGCAGCCCGAACAATTGCGCAATATCACCACCCTGTGACGGTCTGCCTGCCTGACCCTGCACGGCCCAAGTGGCAGCCGGGGCCCTCGAGCAAGCTGCATGCAGGCTCCAAAAACCCTAGAACTTCTATCCTCAGTTGGTCTCAACAGGGGCCACGTCCAGGCCCCAACTACGGGCCGTGCCCCACCTGTATATGTTGAGCCCTGGCTTCATGTCGCGGCCGCCCACGCTGACGGCCGCCTCCACCAGGAAGGCGTGGCCCTCAAACACGCGCACGTCACCTTGCCAGGCGGGATGGCGTGGCGGCTTCAGAGGAATCGGGGTGTCAGGGTTCAGGGTAAAGATTTGGGATTCGAGGGCGGGAAGGCCTCCAGGCGGCGCCATGCCGCGCCATGCAATCTGCTAGCAGGTGAAAAAGTGGTCCTCGTCACGCCTCGGAGGGACGGACGAGGCGCGGCGCCTGGCATAAACTGGGAGGTCCCTTTCATCGGGCCCGTCTCCGGTCCCCTGGGTTGCCCACCACCATGCAAACACCGTACGCTGCAGAGCCCCAATAGCACACAAGCAGCGTGAGGCCCAACCCCCTCGCGCCCATCTCAAGCGGCTGGTCTCACTGGAGTGTGTCGCTATGAGCTCTGGCCGCAGCTCCTTCATGACCCCCAGCCGCAGGTTGTACTCCCCTGCCGGGCTCAGGTGGTCGCCACTGGGGTGCAGGGGGCCAGGGGGGCAGGAACAAGGGCAACGGGGATGGTGATGATGATGGTGATGCTAGTGATAGTAATAGTGATGATGATAATGGGAGAAGGGAACGAGAGAGAGAGAAGGTGATGAGAGCGGAAGAAGTTGTCAACCTGGGTTTGCTCTACTGTATTGTGCGCTGGCGAGGCGGGGCCGAGGGCGGCGGCACGCCGACAAATTGGATTCTGCAGCCTGGGGCGCGACGCCTCTGCGCCAGAGCAGGGACGGCGCGCGTCCACAGAGAGACGGACCGCTACGCCTTCCCCCTTGCCACCCGTCGCCCCTCGCGGCAACCCC